CAATTATCGGTTATCTAAGGATAGCCTTGTCGTTCCGAATTAGCGCAGGCGTTGTGGCCGTCGAAATTATTGCGCGCGGATTGTCGGAACGATACAACCGGGCTATAACTACCGTCATGCTGAGGGAGTATTAGCGAGGGCTTAGCGCGGGATGACATCGAGAATGGGGAGCGCAGGGGATCGGCGAGAATCAGGGACAAGGATGAACAGAGTTGAGGGGGAGCAGGAGCGAGAGTCCTGGTCGAGAATCACTACCGTTGCCGTCAGAGACGATCGTGCTACGAATTCCGCCGCGAAAGATAGATTCCCTCGACGATATACATCCGAATCCACTCCTCCCGCTTCTCGTTCCTCGCTCCATTTCTCGTCCCCTCTCGTCTCTACACGTGTCCCAGGAACGCCTCTGATCTTTGCCGCTTTGTATACACGAGACAAGGTCACCTCGGCATCTACAGAGTATCCCCCGGTATCCGACGTATAAACCTGTACACGCCTTCCCTCTGTGTGACATGACTGCTCTTTGCGTGCTCGACGGCATGCGAAACTCAACTAATATATATTCCGGAAACTTTTCGGCGGGCGATGGACACTGGTCGCCCCTCGAATTTGAATACCCGATGAAGCGGGTCTCGTTGATGTGTTCTGAGACCATAGGTCCCTGGGTAACATAAGGAAGGTAACTACAATCGAAACACATACGATGGGGGGGGGGGGGGGCGAAAGGTGTGATAAAATATAGCGAAACGCAAACTCCAATTTTTAATTTTATGGACACATCCTGTTTTTTAATCATCATTTTAGTTACGCGCGCGTTCGTATTAATTTCCGTTTACATTCTGATATCGTAATGAAACGCATGATGGGATTCTTCGTTGACCTAATTATAACATTGCGCGAGCATCGGTCGGATTAATTCAATGATTTTTCCAGCAATTGTATCTCACCATACAAATTGAAGATTGGATATTACGCGGAAATTGCAATTATCATATCATATATTCGTAGACCATTTAAAATTCACCATGAATACCATCTTATACCCATTTCATTGCACATGTAAGAGAAAGCTAAAAACTTCTATGCATGTTCTCTTTATTAAGATCATAACGATATTTCGAAAAAAGGAGAAAGAAAGAGAAAGAGAGAGAAAATATTCGAAATATTCACACCGTTTAAAATTCCAATTGCGACCGAGCCGAGTCGAGAAAGTAGGAAATTAGCGGTGATAACGTAAAAATAGATGACGAAGCGAAGCGCAGAGCGCAACTTGTGCAAAAGTTGGATCATGCGGCGCTTAGTATTTCGCGATGTGAAATTGCAAAGCTCTCTGTGTCCGAAATGTTCGACAAATCCAGCGCTTCCAGGATTTAAGGCAATGTTTCTCCACCCGGAGTTTACTCGCTTCTCTTTCCAAATTATTGGAATTCCTATGGTGAACTCTTACGCTATGTGTTGCACCTTTGATACTTTGCGCGATACACGCAGAGAGTGACGAAGATGTAGCGACAGTGAATGCAGGAGGAAATTTCACGGCGAAGAGAGCGTCACGTATAGGGAAAAGGAGTTTATTCCGTGATACAAAGTGACAAATCCTCTTAACCGCTTTTCCATCTTGCATTGTTGTAAAACGCGCACCATTGTATGAAGAAAAGCGCAATTCGATTCTTCTCTTTTACTAGTAATTATTAAACACCTTGAATTTTACGGTAAAAATAAAAGCGTTAGTTGTAAATTGTATTAAAATTTTTAAATTTAAATTTTAAATTCAAAATTTTACATTAATTTACGCAGCGTGAATCTGATCAAGTCTGAAAATTGTGATACATATTCAAATTCGCATATTTCAGAAACCTAAAAAGAACGCCACAAAATTCAGAGCGAGTATTACTTAGAAATATATCTTTTATATATGTCAAAAAATAATAATATGTCAATATGTATAAATATATCAAAATACATCATGATGAAAATTATGCTGTGCAAATTAATGGCGATTTTGAATATGTATCATAATTTTCCGACTTGTATCATCTTTTCGTTAATGTAAAGTTTTATCATTTACCTATAAATATTAATGTTAAAGGGAAGTTTATTTTGAAAGTGGCAATTAGCCCTTTCGAGCGGTATAATTACCTGCACTCTATGACGGCAAGTTTCCTAAGCACGTGTCAATTCTATTGAAACCAAAGGTTTATTACGTTGTCGCCGACATAGATAAATTCGTTATGTTCGCGTTGCGAGAACAACGTTCCTTTGAGCCTGGCCCGTATATTTCGCTTAGCGTCCGTTTTCACTTTCTGCCATAGCTACGTGCTCAGATACAGATCGCGGTCTGTTGACATCCATTGATCATGACATGAATAATGAATGGATACACACCGCTTGAATAATGCATGCATCAACGTCGAACAACATTCACTCGATAGCGGTGTATAACTAGTCGGGTATACTATTGGGAACGTTGATGAACACAGAGCCCACATTCGCTATTGGCCGGTATTAGCCATGATATCGCATGTGATCGCAGGTCCATAGATTTTTTTAGACACATCCTTTGCGCGGCTCTAAAGCTAAAACCGTATTATCTTTTGTGCCCGTTTTCGATAAACACTTGATTTCAATAATCGATTTGGGACAGTTGCTTTCATCACTTGATCGCTGAATTTCTGCATATGTATGAATGTAGATATGCAAAAAGTGTGCGTGATTAATTAAATTATAATTTATATAAATTTGCTTAAACATTCTCTTATCTTTATTCTTTGTCAAATAATAAAATGACAATACATTGCCTAATTATATACTTTTACTGCTTATTAAAATTGAAATTTTATTTTATTAAATTGCAAATTATTTAAATTTTATATTTATTATATTGCATTGGTTATCAACAAAAGTCAAATAATTATAATTATATAAAACAAATAAACTTGTTTTTACAATTAAATTGTATGCAAAATTAAATATAAAATTGTCATTGCAATTATTTAATCATTTTCTAATTCTTTTTTCGTCTTAGTAGTGTTTATATTTACTCTCTGATGAAATATTTAAGATAAAAAGGTATTTTATCAAAAATATTGAATAGTTATTATATGATAATAAATTAATTGTTTAATCATGATAAAAATAATATATGTTATAAGCATGTTGCGCATTCTTTTATCATAACGCTATTTTATCAAGTTTCACTAGGCTTGCACGTCTCTTCGTAGTTTCAAAGAACTTCAATTTAATAATTCTTGAGAAGTATGAAGAACTTTGGTTGTCAGCCTGTCTTCCGCGGAATCTGCAGTTTCGTGAAGGCTTTGCGAAGGTTGGTAAAAGTAGAATCGAAGTCCTGTTACTTATGTAAAACATATTTACATATTTCTCATGCACTAATACCTTCCTTCTAACTTGCATATTTATATATTGCGTGTTGATTCAACAAAAGTAGCTCAAGTATTAAACAAGAAATATTAAACAAAATTGTTTAATTATTCATAAAATGTTTGTTTATAATATTCGTTGAATTAATAATAAATTATTTATATGATAATCTATAATACAAAGATTAAAATTTATAATTAATTGTAATATATATTGTATTATATTTATAATGATCACTAATATATTTTTTCTCTAATTTTTAAATTATTTTTATTCAATTATTTTAATTATTTTTAATAATTTCTATTTTTATTCATTTTTTTATTTTACTTTTATTATATTATATTATTTTTATTACATTTCTAAAAAGACGATGATTAATATCAACTAAGAGAAAAATATAAAATTTTCTCCATAAAATTAAAAGATGCTTAAAAATTAAATTACTTAAAAATACCTAAAAATTATAAAAAATTGTGAGATACTCATTGCCTAAATATAGTAAATTTTGCCTAAGGAAAGTCACATTGTAACGTTAAAAAAGAAAGGAAGAATGTATACTTTAGCCGTTAGTCAAGAGAGAATGTTAATGAAATAGCCGTAGAACTAGCTCATGGCATGCAAACAAGTTGGAAAGCAGTCGGTCACCCTCAACTGCTGGGTTTGCTACAGAGGGATTGCGGAACTCGCGGCTACAAGATGAGAAAGCAGACGTATCTCGGAAAGAGAGCTCTTAGCTACGTTAGGTTAGGTAGTTGCAGAGCTATTTGCGGCTCATCGGAACCATAATTAGTTTTCCTCCGTGAAGTCTCGGTCGGCCAAGCTCGATAGGCAGGCAGTTTTAGGTGTGGGCGACCGAGCGTGCAGAAAGGGATGGGGTGAGCGCCTGGCCTCGCCGCGCAGACTGGAAAATGCCCTTCGCAACGACGTTCTTGTCGTGGCTTTATCGAATTCCCAAGGCTGCGCTAACTCGATCAAGCTCCAGCCTTCAGAATATTTACCTCTCGATAAAGCGTAGTAGGGACGCGAGAAGGCGGACGACTAATTTCGTCTGTTGTTCCGCGCCGTAAAAGGCGACGAGAAAATTTAGCCGCTCTTTGAATTCGGGCGGATGTAACCCTCGCATCATTTCCTTCCACCAGAGGTTCAAGATGGAAAATTTGCGCGGTGCGGAAGGTAATACGTTGCGTTTATTTAGACGAAGCTTCTACATGAGAGAGAGTTAAGCTTCGAAGAACATTTCTCTTCTTCAAAACGAATGTAGTAAATTTGTATAGAGCTCGTATAATTACACCTATTTAATTATATAACTCCCGACGTACACAAGTATATTACGCTTAATTTATTTACTTGCATGCTTAGTTGTTTAGTTAATCGATCGCGATCCAGTATAAATAGTTCCAGCGATAATATAATAGTTGAACTCTCGTAGAGCGACTTTTTGCGAGAGGTCACGCGATGGTTTATCTAGAAATATTTAAAAATTGGGACGCAAAAACGTTGATAGAAACAGAAATGCGATTAGACCAGGCGCTGCAAATAGTGCAGGGCACCAGCGAGAAGCGAAATCACGGCAACTTTCTTCATAATGGTAGAAAGACTGACGTCGTTATATCGCGTTGTTGCAGGTTCCGTGAACGAGGCTGGCGTTTTTGCGTTACGAGGTAGACAGGAGGGTAGTCGGCGCTCTAGAAAGACCACCACTAGCACAACGAGCACAACGACACCCAGCTCGACATTGATATCTTTGCCCGACGAAGTGGCGCAACCCGCTGCTCTTTTGGCCCCCGAGGAGGAATCATGGTCTACCAGTTCCTCCACCACGACCAATGTTCCACTGTCCTCAGACATGGCCGATACGTCATCCAATCCACCTCTAGAATACGTGGAGAAACCCCACACTAAAGTCATTTTGCCCTGCAAGCTGGAAGGAAATTATTCGAGCTTATTGCTGCCAGGAGCAAGGTAAGACACGAGTCTAAATTTAATCGATTACTGAGAATCATCGACTGATCTTAAGGAGATCCCTCAATCTATCTGTTTCGACAAAACACTGTAATTTTTGGGCATGTGCCATTTCTTATTGTCTACATAGAATTAAAAATCCTTTTCTACGGATGACGTATAGATGCAAACGGACATGGGGAAGCCGATTATATACAGAGAAAGAAAAAAAGTATAAAATTATATATTTATTTATCGACTTCTTAGATCAACATGGCGTCTGAAGCTATCACATCATAAAGACCATTAGCCTTGTATAAATGTTTTTGTTTTTTATGCATAAAACAATAAGCATACCCAATAGCGGATTGCACAATAAAAACTTGAGGAACTATGAAAATTGAGTTTAGTAGTCTACTTAATAAATGGCACATGTCCAAAAATTTCGGTCCGTATGTACCTAAAATGTTGGTAGAGTAGAAAAAGCAGTGCATCTTTTTTATAAATAACGTGATAAAGAGAGATACGAGATGATGATTAGATGAGAGCGCTGTAATCGTGTAAGAGTTCGCCGTTTAATGAGAGATCCCCTTAATTAATTTATTAGATTAATATATATTCAACAGTATATTTTTTCAATATTCTGAAATATTATATTTGAATGTGAGACACACACGTCGTGTGTTTTAATTCCAAATGAATACGCGTGAGACGAAATAATATATTAATAATATTCTTTCCCTCGATTATCCATAATTCCTAAATTACGTTTCCATATCTTCGTCATATATCTACACGTTTAACAATGTTCCTTCGTCTATATATATTATAATATCCGGTTTCAGTTTGTAATAGTAACTTCCGTGTCGAATAACATCACGGTGAAATTATTCCCTCTACGGGAACAAAGTCTCGCTCCGCGATAGTAGTCCAAGTCGCTTCGTTGCCCGAAGATCGGGCCATGACGAAGTTTGTTGTGCATGAAGTGGAGTAATGCGGACGTTGCGCTCCTTGTCAGAAGTTACAGAATACGACCGGCGACATGGTTGCACGAGGGTAACCCGGTGGACATGATCACGATAGATACGAGAACGGAAATGAGCGGAACCGGGCATCGATACATCGGCGACTCAACGACTGCCGCGTTGCATATAGACAACGTCAGATTAGAGGACGATGGTATGTGGAGCTGCACGTTGGAGGACGATCGGGGGAAGATCCTCTTCGGCAGACCGGTGAAGCTGGTCGTGCTCGGTGAGTACCTTGCAATCCCTTTCTCAACGCTTAATCCCTTGAAGTTTGGATTTTCTATTGACGTGAAGAATTAAAGCCACTCACGCGAATCTCGCAAAATTTTTCATATTCATTTATATATTTATCTGTATTTAAAAAAACAACATTAAATATGTAAATATTATCGCTGAACATTTGCATTTATATATTTACGAATGCTTATTTGAATTATAAGTCGTGTTATATTGTTGAAAAAAGAACTTGAAGAGTGCCAGATATATTGAATAAGATATATTTAATAGATTTATAAAGCTATCAAAGAGATTTAAAACTATTAAAAATTCATTTATCTTCCAATATCAAGTATATGATTTCTTATAATATTGATAGGTTAAGTCTATTGATTGTGCGATCAATATTACTTGGATAATCATGTATTTGGACGTTTTCAATGACACACAAAACAATTGTGCAATGACTAAAACAATTTGCAGATTTTATATATGCCATAATATTTATTTTTAATATAAAGTAATATGAAGGGAATTTTTCGCTTTATCTTGGCGATTATAAAAAAATAACAGATTTTTTTATAATTCAATTTTATGCGCTCTTTCCTGAAAAAGCGAGATGTAGATGAATTTTTTGGCAAATGCGATCCTATCTTGCATAAAGCCTTTCAATTTCGCGCGAATAATTAAATTCTCACAAAATTCTGACTGATGAAGTTTTTTAGGAATGTGCCGGATACATTTAGGAGCGATAACATACGAGAGAAAAATTTTTCCGTAACGCATAACGTTGGAAACGCAAACTTTTACTGTTCTCGATGTTATCCACTTTTACATTTCATATAACCTTTCTCTAAAAATCATGATCGCATTCGATATTAAAGACATTTATTATTTTAATTTTAAAATATATTTGATTACACGCCAATACGCGGAGAATATTTCCATTTTATTTTTATATTATATGAAATGATATAAGAAATTTTTTATCAAAGTTTGTTCGTGTTTCCAGATGTACGTTTTTAAAATATCAAATTTTCATAAAAATTAATTTTTTCCTTCTTATGTCTTATTGGCTCGCGCAATAATGATTTATCTATTTTGTAACAATTAAATAAAAATCAATTAATGTTACACAACAATTATTATACAACATAAAGGAAATGTAACCTGCTATAATTTACAATTAAAATTTTTTTTGCGCTCTTTATTCCACATTTAAACACTATAGGTAGCGTCACTGTTTTTTAAGAATCTTCAGCAAGAGGTCGGGCGACGAATAAATTGCGGAACGAGACTTTCTAAGCTGCCTGAGTCGACAGTAATGGCAGGATTTATGCATATTAATTCGTGCCACTTGAATCCGCCGGTCGCATCGTTATATGAATATGCATTTGCCCTAAAAGTTCCCGTTTTACGTCTCTCTTTTTTTGTAAATAAATGCGTCGCTTGTTTTATCGGCTACATTTGTCTTCGCGACAAATTCGGGAGGCAAAGTAATCGCTAGTTGATGCACGCATGATGCATTTTCAGTATCGTTCGAGACTAAATAAACCTTTGCTTCGTATAGTCTTCCTGTTTTTAATATCCAATAGCAGTAGAACGATGGAAACACGGTTAATTGTTATCTCTGTCTCTTGTGAAATGATACGTCCACTCGAGATGCGTATGTATAAGTGGATGCGCGGTTGACACATTCCTCATATACGTTTTTCTGCATTCCCCCCTGTGCGTCGTCTGGTTATTCCGCTTCAGGGTGATGTTTATTTTTCGGTTGCCGCGTGAAAATTTTGCACTGACAGCGATCTTTACCAACGGTATATTCGCAGCTTTGCTTAGCACGACACTTTTGAACGTTAATACAGATGGAGATTATTTATTCCCGAGAGATTTATAATTTTGATATCATTCTTGCGAAAGAGATCTCGCTGAAACTTTATATTAGCTCATTAACACACACAAATACATTTACATTTTCATATATTATAGAGGGCACATTCTTCTAATAAGTAATACACGCTTTGAATTTTGTTACGTTCTCTTGTGGTTTCTGATATATGCGATTTTGAATAATTTTCGTTTATTTGTATCTTATATTATTTTTTTCTTATATTCTATTTTTTTGTTATATTCTATATCTGTTTATATTTTTTATTTATATTTGCTATCTATTTATATTTTATTTATATTTATATTTATTGTATTATTGTCATTACATTTTTTGTTTTTATTGCTTATTATATCACCGTCATTAAGCTTTTGAGAGAAAGAGAGAGAGAATTATTGTTTAGTTTCTCTAAAAATTCTTTTTATTTACATATGCCTATCATTGTGCCCCTTCTAGTACGCTTTAGAATTGTTGTTTAGTTTCTAGGAATTTCGAAATAAATATAACAGTATAGTTTTATGAACTTTTAGTCATTATTACAAGCAAAAGGTAAATAAACGAGGTAAATTTATGATTATATAAAGATAAATTTTTGATTATATATTTCAACATTGTATATATGTGATAAAATTAACTAAATACTTCACTAAGTATTTATTATTAAAAATAAAGAATAGAAATATTGAAATAAACGAACGGCCAGGAGATAAGTAGGACTCTTTTCTCGTCCTCCTTCTCCTAAAAAGAAACTAATTTAACCTAAATTTATTTCTGATTTAACATTTGTTTGTGTTAAAGTCATTAAGATTAAATTCTCTTTTCTAAACATTTTATTTAAAATCGTATATATATATATATATATATATATATATATATATATATATATATATATTAGAAACCAAAGGGAGCCTCACAAAATTCAAAACGTGTGTTATTTAGAAGAATGTATCTTCTATGATATGTCAAAATAAAAAAAATGATTTGAGCTGCACAAGTTAATATAAAGCTTTGCCGAGAACGTTTTTCGAACCAAGTATTAGAATAGACGAAAGGAAAAAGGAATTTTTAATTTGCTTTTTAGAAATAAATAAACTCTTATGTGGGAACGATAAAAATTACAAAGGTATTTTAATATAAGTAAGATTTATTTAATATTAACTCACGATATTGAATGTATCTTGTTCATAAATATCTCCGTGAGCTTAATTCGCATATAATTGACTCATAAATAAATGCTGTCGTTGATGTAATATCGAAAAGTGGATTTTGACTGCTTCCAAATAAATCTCGAAACGTAAGCAATTACTTTCGTTCACTTCTCGGCACTCTGAGTTATTTCGCGTATCTCAATGAACTGTACCGACTTTATAAATCTTCGGATATATCTTCTCTCTATTGTACCTTTCGCAAGCCGGTCGAGTAAATACGAAAGAAGAAAGCTAAAAGTTGCCTGCTGCATGAAATATAGCACGTAAACCGCGGTGCACGATAAGACGTTGAGTACACTTAACGTCTATCCTGGCGAAGTCGAGAAAAACAAATCAACTTGGGTGTTCCAATCCGGAAGCGCGCGTCCAGCACGCCAATGCGGGCAAAGTCAGTTTTCATTGAAATGCAATGGCCCTTGTGTTTCTTTTGTATACTTTGTTTTGCACAGTATGCCGTGCCATATTGTATTCGTGTGCGAATCGCGAGATTTCTATGAGAGATATACTGTCGCAAAGTGAGACAGAGCTGTGTTACGTCATATTGATATCCGAGTATCGCACTATATATATGTATTTATATATGTATATATGTATGTATATGCATATAAATATACACCGTATATATGCAGGATGTTTCTTAATAAGTGCGACAAATTTTAGGAGATGATTCTTCGTCGAAAATTAAGGGGGGCTTTTCATATAAACATATACTCCTACATTGCTCCTTGTGGAGTTACACTCCTTCAAAAATGGGGGTAAAAATTAGGCTTTTATTTTTTTCTCAAATTTCGAATAAGTTAATGAAATGAAATTAGGTGGATATTTTCTACTAATTATTTATTAATATTTTTTTAGCCTCTCGTATTGTTAAGGGGATGAAACTAGCAATCCCTATTCAATTTTTTATTAAAACTTTTAAATGTTTATGTGAGAAACCCCTCCTTTTCGACAAAGAATCATCTCCTAAAATTTTTCGCACTTATTAAGAAACCTGTACATATATAGCGTCCATATAAATGCATTTTTAGATTTTTCTTCATATCTTTTTCTAAAACAAAGAGTTATTCTTGTTTTATTTCGTCAAGTTTAACTATTTTTGAGAAAAAAAACATTTGATCGATAAAAAGTAAATCTTCATATTTAGATAATAGAACAATAAATTTGAATTATACAAAATTGAATTAATTGCATTAGAAACAAAACAAAGATTTAGTCAAAATTGCAAAAATGTGCTCGATATAACTTTCTTCTGCTCTAACACATTTCCAAGCACGATAGGAATGAGATTAGATTTTTAATTTCAATTTTTAATTTAATTTTTTCTTTCTATGTATATTTGTTGTCAGCTCGATAATATCGATCTAATATCAATGTTGAAAAATGTGAATAATTTAATTATAATTCATAATTTGAAAGATCCGCAATTAAATGATTTAATTTCACAATGTTTTAATAATGTTAAAATTATTGTTGAGTATTATATATTGTATTGGCTTTTAAAAGCTCTATTGGATATCAGAAAATTTGCGATAAATTTAATGGCGGTCGTAACGTCGATGTGTATAATACCTTTTGACAATAATTCCATAATGTACGCGGTATGTGTTTATGATTATCATGTCTCTCCAGTTATCGGACTTAGCTTTAACTACGTAACGCATACCACACGTTGTTTATAACATAACTATAACATAAAGCTATGATGAGAAAATATACAAATTCAGTTTGCAAGGTAGAAATTTCATTTATATCCCGGTACTTTCGTGTTTACTCTTAAATTATAACTGTATCGCATACTTTATGTTCGTATCGATTTAAAATGACACATTTCTACAGAATTAACATTGTGAAATATATTGGCAGCCTCCATTATAATAATAATTTAAATTATTATTATTTATTATAATTATTATA